CCACTGAGACCTATAATTCTTAAATCCTCGAGCCTAAGTCCCTGCAACTTTAAGAGAGCCCCTGACAACTCGCCAAGCACATAGAGCTTTCTTTGTCCCAGTCCCTGTTGCTGCCCAAGAGCAATAGCACGTCTGCTGTGCACACAAGTGGGGAAGCACAGACAGGGCCATGTCACCAGCTTCCCCCCGCTAAGCAGCCTCAGGCAGGGAGAAGGGCTCATCTCTCCCCCATCAGGGTACAGCCTTCATCCACCCTGCTCCAGAACAGCTGCTAGCACACTTGAGAAGTTCATCCCCTAATCCAAGTTACACGAAGAACAGGTAACTGGTGTCAGAGTCACCTGCCCGAGTGCAAACCAGCAATTGTACTCCATAATTCCACCTTCAAGACCAACAGCCTCCAGGATTCTTTGACGCCGGAGAGGCCTAGAGCTCCGAAGTTAACACAGCTACTACAAAACGGATCAACAGAAGATGTAGTAGACTGTGTTAGTGCAATGCAATTGTATTTGTGCAATACAAAATGTAACAAAACATAGAATCAAAGTTTTGCCTATTTAATGACAACTTGTGGAGTCTCCATCTTTATGACATGATACAGTTTAGGATGGGAAACACAAAGTTACCTACAGCTATGAAGTAACTGATAGTTATTTCAGGTGGGGTGAGACAGCAGGTGACAAAGATTTGGCTTATTCAGACCAACACTGAAGTAAAGGATAAGCTTCCTTTGTTAACCGAGGTTTCCCTGGTGTAATTTCAAGGACCTACTGAATGAAAATTTCAAGGGGAAACTCATTTTAATGGAGAAAGTAGCTCCAAAGTGAAGTGACATCGTTACAGTTCTGTCTCTTGCTGTCAGGCAGCAGGATTTTGAAGCGGCTGATCCACATGCACAGCAGTCCATTTCATAAAGCGTTCATGGTCTCTAGAGTGCTTTTACTCCAATGTGTGCCAGAGCTTTCATAGGCATTACACACTCATCATTTGGCGCTGCAATGCAGCTAACCAAGTGCAGCTCTGCAGAGCTACTCAAGCTTGAAATGAGCTTGATCAGAACAAGTTTCTATTTTGAAAGTGAACTAAGCAATTTCTTTCTGCATGCTCTGTCCGGCCAACCCACAACATTTGCAATAGTGAAACATGCACCTCAAACGGGTTTAAAAAAATTAGTTCCCCATGTCTCAAGTCAGCAATGATTAATTGTATCTTCTGTTGTGTCACAAGATGTTTCTAAAGGTATCAGCCCTACCTGAGGTAGTTCTTATGCATATAAGCAAGTTACAACACAAACTTAACCAATTTTTTTTAAGACTGCAATAAACAGTATCTATTAAGAACAAATGTGGCTGCAGATAAAAGTCAAATGTCAGAAAAATCAACCGATTTGGAAAAAAGGCTTTAAAATCCTATACAAAGACATGAGGAGGGAGGGGAAAAATAAAACCCAGAATCCATGGTGTAATTTGCCAAACTTTTTGTTTAGATGCTATTAATATATCACCTATATATACACAACTCACATATATGGAATAATATGCTGGACGCTACAAACTCACCTGAAGGTATAAGAGCTTTCAAGCCTAATCTTACATGTTTTGGTGAGGCTTTTCTGCTTATCGCACAAGTAATACCTATGCCAGTCTTGTTCCCAGCACTACTGAGCTTCTATGACAGTGGCAAAGGCTGCTCTGGTTCTGCAGTACTGCTAGGATGGTGTCCTGCTGTGGGGGGACAGTTCAGCTGCAGCTGAAAAAATGGGGGTATTAAACCTCCATCACACCCAGCCTTCCTAACCAAGCCTACCCCGGAGTTAACTGTGTGCACGCAAATAAAATACCAAATTCAAATCTACACAGTTGTCAGCTTGCATGAAACAGAAAATTTTCATAGCTCCTCAGCAGCTGAAGACATTCAGAATAGGGCATGACTGGATTTAACACAGAAACAAACAAACAAAAAATTCATCCCCTGCCTACTTTTGTTTGTTTGGCAGTGAGGAAGGGAAGAGAAAGGGAATTGTCTCATATTTCTGCTAAACCAGCCTGGAAGACAAGACACTCACACGGGTTCCTCTTCCTTTCCAGCAAGATCATCTTTAGTCAGCAGAAAACAACCCAGTTCAAAAGCTATTCTAAAACAACGCCATAAAGTTCTCACCTCCTTGCCCTCACTCTGCAGCGCCAGTACCCATAGGTGATTCAGCACAGCAAATGACAGCATGCCACATGAGTTCATTTCTCAGCAGACTGCCTGCCCACATCACACAAGGAAGTGCTTTCAGACTGCCAGTAAGAGGAGGATCAGATCTTTTTTGTCCCAAGAATTTCTAGACTAAGATATTTACAGTATTACCCACGTTACAATTATGTGTGCCTTTAAAGGCATGAAAAAAGAAGATATAACACAGCCTTTAATTATAGATATAGGGTTTAGGCTAGGTGAAATGATGCGGAAAGTTCAAACTACTCTCTATTTCTTAGAACAAAATATATACATAAGAGTACACAAGGGGTCCCAACAATGCATCTTAATGAACAGGTCTGTGCAGCAAATCAGATCCAGCCCACTGGATCACAGATAGCTTTCAGACTTCCAAAGACCTGATGTGAGCTTGATCTAGAGCTATGTCTTTATTAGCAGAATGTTTTTGTGATCTCAACTCAAAGGTCAATATTCTAATCTAAGCTTCAGGAAAGCTTTCAGTGGGAACACATCTGACAATGTCTGTGACTCACTATTCCCCATCTTACCCATTGTGTTGCATGCGGTATTAAGGAATTAGGACATTTATGGAGATGAGTTTCACAAAACTTAAGACCTAATCATCACTGGGAATTACAGACATCATTCACACTTTACCTGGAGAAATAATGTATTGAAGGAAGAGAGCAAAGCAAGATAATATGCAGCACTTATTATTTTATTGCACTCATTTTTTCTATCAGTTATTTCCACGCTACTTTATTTACACAGAATCCAGATTCTGCTACTTTAATCATTCACTGCTACTTAAATAATATTATCAGTGAATTGGCTGCTTTATCAGTTAAACTGGTAACCAGGATATCAGAGAACTCAAGCTTTTATCAATATTAACTTTGAGATGAAAGACAGTTGCAAACAGATTGCACTACAGGTTAACCATCATTAGCCATTCTCTTGTCTACATCTGTCCTCATCATTACGGAGCAGTTCTCATGCCACGTTCCTCTCCATTCCTCCCAACACCTCCACCTCATCAGGTGAGAGCAGGCAAGACTAAATTAGGCCAAGTGAGCTGCTATGATTCAGTGGGAGGACACTGCTCCCCCTTAGCCCCAACACAAAGCCAATAACCTTTAAACAGACATCAGGAATTACCACTTCCCGGCTTTGACAGAAATTCATAGAAATTCATAGCATCTATCGTGTATCACTATTTGAATCTGCTGTTTGGTTTTTGGGGGTTTTTTTTGGTTTTTTTTTTTTTTAAATCATTAGCAATATGCAACAGTGATTACAAACAAGTACCATTCTCTTCTAAAACATACAACACCTCACACAGTTTATAGAAAAGTTACTTTTATTATAGAGCACAGAACCTGTAGCTAGCTTATATGGAGTCCTAATGAATGACACTTTCAGTGTGAATGTTCTTTCAGTTAACAAGGCAATTAATACGAAAATACGTAAACATTTATACACACCCAATACAAGAAGTTAATATTGCATTCAATATGCATCACAAGTACAGTAGAAGACTGGTGACATGCTTCGTTACTACCCTCTTCCGTCCCTCATCCCATATTAGAAGTTTACCAGAAAATTACGAAAGGCATGCATTGCAGAGCTGACTCTTCAATTTCTAAATTTAATCCTCTTTCCTTTTCCCACATCCTCTCCCATACATACATGGCCATACAGCTACCAGTAACATTTGCTGCCCAGATAATGCCAACAGCCACAGATGACCACCTGCTTCAGCTCAGCCTGCTCCACTGCCCTCCCTTTTGCCCCTTCTCAAGAAAGCTTCTGTGCAACAGCATTTCAATGCTATTCTAGTAACACATGGCTCATGTAAACACTGATACTTTTTGTTCTATTACACCACATTCAAGTTGTACACAGGTTTAGGCTTCGAATGATGTAATGAGTGTTGTGGAGTCCCTTTTCACACACAGCTTATTCTGAGGCAAGTTTTTCCTTTAGCTAATTCCATGCAATTCCCGATTCTATCGGTAAAGCTGTACAGCATCAAACTAGAATCCTTTACTAGTTGCTCCTCTCCTTCACTGGAAAGGTGAAATCACCAAGTCACACTGCATCTAGACCAACTAGCTCTATACTGCCAAGATCCAGCCAACTTAAATACCTCTACACATCTAAGGCAAAGATATGAGACTGAACTTGCTTACCTATGCTTCCAATCAAATGAAGTAATAAGAGACCAAGAGTCACATTTATTACCACGAGAAAGCGGCAACTTTCCTTATATTGCTGGAAAAAAGTCATCACTCAGGACAAAGGCCAAACTTCACATCCTGACATGAAAGCATAATACTCCAAAACACTCGTTCTTAGTTATCGGTCCCCAAAAATCAAGCCAGTTTGATGCCTGAAACACCTTTTATAAGACTTCTCTTGGGCTTTTCCTTTCTGAAAAGTTCTTGTAAATATTTTTGTCGATCAATATTTTTTGTTTCCAACTCTGACAGTCTTGACAGCTATTTTCCCTCTCAATAGTGCTTACACTTGCAACGACTACATAAGAACACCAAACTCCAATAGCTATGTTAAAAACTTCACCTTTGAGATAATGAGAAGCCACTGAAATGGAAGACAGAAAGCAGTAACAATTTTTGCAGATGGTCTCAGTTTCAGAGGCACTACAATTACACACGCACAAACATCCCTCTCCCTTGCCAGTAGTAAATCAAGCCTAAAAGATCACACATTTATTTCCAGCGTTACAACAGACGGTCTTGCCTTGTTCATGGCAACGAACAGTTCCTACTTACATATCCCAACAATAACAGAGGGCGTGTGTTCCAGTCGCAAGTAGAAAAGAAGATTGTAAAAATTGAAACAGATCAGAGAGAAGCATAAGATGACAGAGATCCATTCTTGTAGTCTCTTTCCTGTTGGAAAAAAAAGGAAAAAAGCATGTTTTACTTTTATCTGAGAGCACATTTTGAAGTCTGAAATAATACAGACAGACTATTCTACTGCCTGGATGACTCCATTTGTCTGACAGAGAACTGAAACAAACTTATTTATCCATGGGAGGTGTGCATATTCCCCAAGCCACTACTAAGCCCTTCCTTCTGCCCTTGCCCAAATAACAGGGACAAATCAGACATCATTTCACATTGTCCTAGTTTCCTTTTCCCTGCGGTTGCTGGCATAATGTTCCTCTGCATCACATCTTTTTTCAAATTTGCATTTCATTCAATATTCAGTGTTGCTTGTATGGCTGAATCTGGCAACAAATTTCTGGCCTCAGACGCCCTGTAGTTAAATCACCTTATGATTTGTAACATCTAAAATCTCAGAGCTTGTAAGTAAAGCTGTTGTACTAACAGGAAAAAGCATCATCCTGTATTTTGGTGGGCCTAGAACTGCTTTCCTAACATTGCAAGCATACTTCTTGAGCTTGCTTACTTAACTCCTGCAGTCTTGTCCTTGCCCTCCTGCTCCCAGGCAGAAGGCTACGACCTCTCAGCCATTCTGAGATAAGAGACAGAATAAGCAAAGAGAAAGAACTGGCACAAATTCTCTTTTGTACCTTGCTGTACTACTTTGTACCTCTACAAAAACCTCATTTATTGCCTATAAAAATAGAACAGACACATCAGAGTATGGTAACACTCTGAATATTCAGACTGACAGGCAGAAGCTTTCTGCTGCTAATCACTGCTAGATCCTCACAAGGCTCTAATGTTGAGAGCGAGGGAACACTTAATGCCAGACCCATATGGATTAAGGCATCAGAAACAGACTTTTAATGCCTAAATCCAAGGAGATCTGAGCTGCCACTTTGGCCCAGAAGGGCCCTGGCTGTAGCTAGCTCTTAACATGCTCAGGAGCAGACAGGTCAGCCTTCACCTATTTTAAGGGGCCAGTCAGCAGAGTTTCCTCTTGCCCTTGGCTTTCCAGAGCAGTTAACCCCACAGTCCATTCCTCACTCCCTCCTGCAGCCGTATACACTTCGCACCACTCGAGTTCGAGGCAAAGCAACATGCAGGGGAACAATCAGTAATGACTACAGGCGAGGTGCACATCCTCTCACGGGGCAGAGGCATATTCCCATCTCTGGCACGTGTTCAGGATAGCAGCTTCTTTCCTACTGCTCCTCTATGTTGACCTACTACCTGGTCAAATTTCTCCTCCTAAATACTGAATCAAGTCCTTCCTCTCAACTATATTGTGCAATGAGAAGGAAACTAGGAACATCAAAGGAGGATCAGTATCATCTCTGATGTGCCTACAACACAGTATTTTAAAGAAGTGTGAATAAAGACTTCTACAGTTCAGGGTTTTGTTCTAGAAAGGCCGTAAGTATACAAATTAACATCCTCTGCAGTAGCAGAGAACAAAATCATAAAATTAAATTAAGACACAAGCATATTTCAAGACAGCATCAGGTCACAATGTGGGAGATTTTATTAAGAGATCCCTGGAGTAATGAAAGTAAGAGTTAATTAATACTCACTTCCTGCATAAGAAAACCACACCCTGATTAGAGGAGCTAAGTGGGTAGATCCTCACGGAACAATTAGCTGACTGCAGGGAAACACTAGGCTCCTCACTAGCAAGTCCCATGAGTTCAGTCTATGCAAACACCACTGCACTCGGAACACAGGGATCCCAAGACGACTGTCTGGAGATATCTGAGTCCAGAAACGCAGCCCCAGCTCTGGACAGACTGGGAATCAGTCGAAGGAGCGGAGTCAGCACCAATAACTTGTGTTTAAAGAGTACTCAAATTTAAACATATGTCCTGCATGAAGGAATAAGGTGCCAAAGCCACAAAGTAGGTGCTTAAAGAAATCATGGAAACACTCCAGAGCCATATTCACTCTGCACAATTATATGTAATCCCCATTCTTAAGAATTCAGTAGTTCATCATCTCATGCTTCCATCATAACACATATTCTGATGTTGTTTATGTAAGTTATTTATGTAACGCCAGAAAAAAAATTGCATATCTAATATATTATCACAGCTCACTGTTGATAGGTATCACTATACATATACTGCTTCACAGACTTCCCACAACTTCCATCTACAGCTAAAGGTAAGGGTAGCAAGTTGTTTGGGGAGGAAAATCTTTCCCTTGCGAGCAAGAGCACAGTGGAATAGTAAAGCTAGTGATTGCTTTTCTGTAAAGCACAGGACTCAGTCACTGCCTGGATCAGAACTGCATATCTAGACCAGCTGAAAGACGTCACACACCACCTTCTCCCAAGGCAAGGAAGAGATGACCAATACAAGCTGAAATGGGCAGACTTGCCCTGAGCAGTCTAGAAAACTGATAAACTAATGAATGCCTTTGTTTTCTTATCATTACTTGGCTCTGTGCAAGTAAGAACACCTGCTTTTCCAGTAATTGCCTTGAATGTGCAAGCTAAGCTGTTCAGCTGACCTGCTGGAAACTGCAAGATGCTGAAAACATGTCTTCCCTTTCCTAATCCTTCAGCTGTGAATGAATTCACCGGGAATGGCAAGAACACCTAGCATTGCTCACATTGTGAGCTAAAACCAAACGACATACTTTATTATAAGGACTTTGCAGTTATTTCTATAGCATCATCAAACAGCTGCTATCACTTTATTGCGCTCTGAGAAATAGCAAGCTTCAGGAAGACAAGACCAAAACAAAAATTCAAACATCTCTCCACCCCTTTCTGAAGTGCCAGGACTGGGTATCTCAGAGTAGTTCACTGAATAAATATTCTGAAGCAAAAGCTTCTGTCGTTACCTTGCTTAGCAACCAAATTTGTACATCTGTTTTTGGATGGAAAGGTTAACTTTTTGTTTGTTTGTTGTTAAAGGGAAGAGCATTCTGGGCAGATTCTAGTTTGAAAATCTCCACCCCAGCAGCTAGACCATGGGTCCGCAGTTGAGACACCAACTCCAGTCCCACTCTGGCACCTTTTCATAAACCGACCATCTAACCTCTCCGTAATAGTGCTTTCTTAATCTCTCAAAAGTTTGCTTTAAAAGTGGTGTGTTAAGTATGTCCATCAAGTCTCAGTTTATAAATAAGAAGTGTCAAACGCAGAGGAGGACAGGAACCCAGCACCGCTTGATGGCCGCACAGAAAAGCGTCCCCCCCCCCGCACACAGCGGGGGGAAGCCATTGGCGTGACAAACGTCTCCAGGACCCCGGCAGCCAAGAAAAGGGCCCTCGACGGTACCAGAAATGCAGCGAGTCGCCCAATCCACAGCCCGTTCTTTAGACCTGCTTTAAGTGGCCACAGTCACCAGCTCTGCCCAGGCCGGGATGAGGGCGGGCGGCAGACGGACGCGGGACCGCCCGCATGCGGCATGCCCTGCCGACA